TACTGTTTACTGTCATCATCTTTGTTATACATTTGTACTTGATTTTACACTCTTATTTTTCCGTAATTGTTTCATGTCTTCCCTACATAATGACTATAAGGCACCTCTTTGTAGAAAGTCTCTTACTCCTTCCTTCCCCAAGTCTTAACTCTTCATGATTTTTAAAGTTTTAGAGAGATCATATTGAGTTACTTAGGGCTGAATTAATAAATGCCTCCCAAACAAGACTTTGAAAACAAGACTGCAATTAATACATCTTACAAATATGGATTCTAATGCCATAAGCCTTTCTTTGAACTACAAATATTTTATGCTAGTTTGAATTGCATTCCAAGGAGCAATGAATGATTCACAGAGTTAAGGAGAAATCCATCTCTTGTGTAGTGGTTTAGTAAGATGACCCATACATTTTTCTAAACAAACAAAAAAGCCTTCATTCTTGTAATCCTTTGTGGCTCTCCACAAATCAAGAGAACATACTCAACAAAAACAAAAAAAACTTGCTGGAATTTCAGTGACACTGACTTGGGAAGAACTGCTTTCCTTCAGATAGACGCATTATTTGGTGAGACAAGGCAGGTGGAGGTGGTGGCTGTAAAACATCTCTACAAATTCCTTGACACTTCCCCTGCGAAATTCCCTCCCCTGAAGTATGTACTGGCCTCAGTCAACTGCTTTCTAGGGGACAGAATGTGGGGGCACTGCTGTGTGATTTCTAAGGCTAAATGGCCTCTGACTCTCACTCCATAGGGATGCTCACCCTTAGAACCCAGCCACCACGTTGTGAAGCCCAGGCCACCGACTGAGTGTACACGCAGCTGTCCCAGCTGATGACCCCAGCAAATGTCCTTAACCCAAGCCAGCTCCAACTTCCAGACATGTGCATGAACAAGCTTTTAGATTATTCTAGTGCCTGCTTGATGCCAAGTGGAGAAGAAATGAGCTGGCTCCACTGAGCTTTGTCTAAACACAGATTTTGGAACCAAGCAAATGCTGTTTTGAGTCACCAGGTTTTGAAACACTTTATTATATAAATTATTAGCAATAAATAACTGGCACAGACATTGATGTTGAAAATGGGGCACAGCCATTAAAAAAGAACCCAAAATGTGGGGATGCCTTTGCGCCTGGAGGTAGGTGAAACCTGAACAGATGTAGAGAAGAGTAAGAGTGAAAACCCAAAGTGTCCACAAGACTGTTGGTGGAAGCCTGAGGGCCCTTGAAGGGCTGAGAGTGACGGCTTCTAGGCCAGGGAAGAAAATGACACTGAAACCGGAGGAAACGGGACTCTTGCTACCGGACAGCTGAAAGTAAAATTGACGAGAGAGATAAGCTAAAACAAACAAAAAGATTATTAAATATAAAGGAACCAGTACTCACTGGGTTCAAGTATCTGTATCCCATTTAAAGCATCTCCACATGCCCAATTGTCACATAATGGTTAAGCAGAGAAATGGCTTCCAGACTAAGATCAAATCTAGGGTGCTGCCAGGAAAACAGTCTAAAGATGAAGCCAAGACTTTGTTAAGACCTTGGAAAGATTTAACGTGCTGCCTCAAATTCCTTTAAAGTTCTTGAAAGCGTAAGAATTTCAAAGGCATGGTCCCACAACAGCTTCACAGGAAGACCAAGGTGAAGAGTTTATCTCAAAAAGACGTGAGAGTAGCTTTTCCAATGGCATGAACCCAATAAAATTCACAGGAAACTCAGTTTTTAAAGAGAACTGTGGTAGCAAAACTACTGCTTGCTAGCTTGGACTGAAAGAGACAAAGACAGTACAAAACAGGAAGAGGACTTTGGGTTTTTTTTAGAAGGTCTACAAGGAGGAAGCTGGCTTGAGAGAACTACTCAGCTGCAAACACAGGTCATTGCTCATGAAAGGGACAAAACAAAGAGCTCAGAGTGGGCAGTGAAGGAGAACCCGTCCCAGGGTTAGGACTAAGTCCTAATCAAAGAGCCGGCAGCATCAGGCTGCATTTCAGAACTGCTACGGGCCAGTGTGCCTCCCATCTTCCATCTGTGAGTGAGGGAGTCCTTAGGATTTAGCAGAATGTTGGGTGTGTGGCGGCAAATAACCCGTGTCTCCTTATCCTCAAGCCTCAGCACTGAGAGGAGTGTACCCAAGGGCTGTACTCCAGAAACCACGCCCAGGAACCTCAGCCCCACCTGGACCTGGTGAAGATGGTAAAGTAAGACCTTGGGCTGGAGCCTGAGCCTAACACCACAGCGACCAAGACCTGCTCATGACTGAGTAGGGATAAGTGGACTTCTCGTATGGAAGCAGTGACAAAACATTGTGGCTAGTGAGAAGATTATGCTGGTTTTTGAATGTCTCCATAAATTTTCAAAATTAATTCCATAAAAAAGGTAGAATATGGGCCAACCTTAAGTGCTCTGCTCCTAATGAATAGAAAACAGTGAAAGTGGCACCGAGTGAACTGCAGGGCAGGTTTGAAAAGGCACTTCAGCTTCTGCCTCGCTCTTAACCCTGGAACCCAGTCTCAGGTGGGCAAGCTCAGGCCACAAAGACAGCTTATGTGTTCCAGGGGAGGTGGTCCACCTGCCTGCCCCACCAAAGCCACAGCCCACTGCCGACATCAACCATCAGACATCAATGGATGAACCTTCAAGTGATTCCAGCCCCCCGCCTTCGAGCTGCCCCACCTGAAGCTGAGAGGAATAGAGGCCAGCTGTCTTGGCCACACTTTTCCTAAGTGTAGGTTGTGAACAAAATAAATGCTTATTTAAGCCAATGAACTCTGGGGATTTTGTTAGGCAAAAACAGACAAACAGAAGAGTGGATAAAAAAAGCTAGTAAGAAATGTAACTTGAATATAGTAGAAACTGGTCTCCTATAAAGTGGAAAGTAACAAACGCTGAGAATAACTTATTAATGACAAAGTGCTGATGAGAAGAAGCAGATAACTGAAAGAAAAACCTAAGAACTAGTGAGAAGGAAGGTACTTCAGAGTTCCCTCCAATTACAGCTTCTTACAAACAGGCATGTATTTCACAGTTTCCCCTCAACTTTGAGTATAAGGAAGACGGGTAAGCAAGGACACATAGGATTTCAAGTCTAATAATTGAAAAACAACTAGAAAAAGTCAGCTTACCAAAATCAACCTTTTTACTTCATTTCAACTAACTGAACTTCTCAGAGACAGACAGCTTTGAGAACTTACTAATCTAGCACTCACTCTTCATTTTCCTTTCCTCAGAGAGAAAATAAAATATTATGGAGCCATAAATGTAGTGTCCTTTGGCAGTATTTAAATACAATTTTTCCTTTACCTTACTTAAAAGCTTGTTGGTAAGGGAAGGTAAGACTGTCTCAGCTTTATACTGTAGCACAATGCTTCTCCCATATCACAGATTGGCTTTCAACTTTTGAAATTCAAATTACTAATCTGTTACCTGTTTCTGATAAACTGACTGAATATTATCTAATTTTTAATAGCTGTACTCTGGGAAAATTTTCCTTGGATGGGATGAAATATTTATTTCATTCATTATGCATTAAGCTATAGAATACAGCTAGGCACCTCTCCTTTTAAGTAAAAGGAGGTAGACACAGGGAGCTGAGAATGCAGGATCTGCACCAAGAACAAGACCGGCACCAGTGTTACACACAGGAACCAAAAGCCAAAAGAGGACTTCATCGTGAACGGCAAGATGATGGATTAGAGAGGCTTCCAGAGAGGAAGGTTGAATTAATCTCCTCCAGGCTTAATCTTTTGCCTCTAGTAGTGAAATCTATGGATGAATCTATGAATTATGAGTGCAACATAATGAAGTATATTGCAGACTGAGTCAGCAGATCCCATGACCATGATTTGATGGAAACTGGAGTGAAGTGGGAGGCACTGGGTGAGGAACAAAAGGTCTGAATGGGGGGAAGGAATGGACTTTATCTTTGCAAGCCAGCTTTCTGTCATGTCACAGAGTTAGCAAGGCATAAGCTGGCCACAGTCCCCTTCAGGAAGCAGCAGATCTCCACAGAAGTACAGTTACAGACATTCCGTGACACTGACTTTTTATTATTATGTAAAACAACTGGTAATATGCAAGACTCGGAAAGAGTTCTCATAACATCTGAATTGGTACTGGCATGGGACAGACATAGATCAATGCATCACCACTGAGAATCTAAAAGAAACCCTCACATTTACAGTCCATTGATTTTCAATACGAGAGTCAAATAACTGAATGAGACAATAATAGTCTTTTTAACAAATGGTACAGGGACAACTGGATATCCACATGCAAAAGAACAAAATTC